CTTTCTTTTGGTCCGCATTCTTTTCCCCCTTTCCATCGGCATAAATTTCAAAAGACCGTAACTATCTTTTACAGCGACGAGCGAGACTGGCAGTGTTCGAACAGTCGAACGCTTGCAAACCGTTAATGTCTTGCAATTTCAATCCATTGCAATCCATTTCTTCACCGATTTCGTTCAAATTTGAAACATAAGTTACTCATAACACATAAAATCAATATACGGTTGCAAAAAATTAGATTTTTTATTTTTAAAAATTATTGTCCAAACAGTGATTCGAACCCCTGTGCTGTGAGTGATAGTTAAGGCAGGCTGCGTAATATGATAAATTAAGACGACTAAAGCTGTGCAAGGAAATTTCAAGCATTTATTTACATGAATTCTAATTAATATATACAATATGTTAAAATACACAAAATACACACTCATCTTCTGGAAAGTGTTCCTTCCGTTCCCCCAACTCTAAACCTAACCCTAAACCTAGCCCTAACTTAAATTTGGGACTTTTAATCATTTCGTGAGTTCTCTAGTAATTGATGTGTTAAGTTTCGTTTATAATTCTAGAATATTTATACATTATTTGGGATGGGGGAACGGGAGGAACTCTTACCCATCTTCTACTCCTAAATTGCACAATGGACAGTTGCGTCACGTTACATTGATTATTTTTACTATAAGATATTTATATAGCACACATATCCACGCAACTAGTACATGCTCAAGGCGCTGGTGTTATTTCCCCTCGATCATAAGATGTCGTATTATCAATCTCCACTCCCCGGGGAGCATACAAGTAATTGCGGCTTTCTCATCCGCACGACGTACCCATTCACAGCTGGGTGGACTGGGGCACATAGTCACAGAACTTTGTCCAAGTTTTTACTGCACGTTGTTGTACCTGCAACTGGGTGTTTGCACGTATTTATGTGGCTACCATCTGGTCATATGCCAACGGATTCGTTGGTACTTTTAAGTGCACAGGGTTGTGTATTGTACAGTAGGGGTTGTGACAACACTGAAAGAGTCTGCACACAATGTTGACTCCCAGGTTTTTACACCCGGTCACAGGTGGGCTCGATCCCGACACCTCAAGTTCGCTGGACCACTTGCCTGGCACATTAGCCAGCTCGCCCACCGCGCCCCATTTTATTTTGTCATCTACCGTCGTTATACTTTAATCTTAGCAATCCACATCTAAATTTAATCACTGTCGATAAATATTTTTCAGGAACTAAAAGACTTTTTTATTCTCTATATATACAATATTGTGAGGTGTTATTTAATACACACGTCCCTGACTGGAAAAAACACAAACATATTGATTGCAACTAATTTGAATTCATTTATAAAATAAACTTTATCACCGACCGTCTGAGAAATCCAGACATAACCAAAACAATGTGAAAAAAGAATATTTCTTATGTATAAAAAAACATATGTATTATATCCACAGATATCATAACATGTATTTCAGAATTGTCATGACGTTAGTGATATGTGTTATATTTTGATAAGTTATTAGAATAAGTATGTATTAGAATTATTGGTATGTTATCACTTACAGATGGACATATGCATGCTGTTTAACTATAAGTAAAGATAGACGATGCGCACTGTCACCTATGCACCATATATTTGGTACTAAATTGGTACTAGGTATTTTATCCTCTTAATGTGTATATATTTCACATATATATATGCCACAAATTTGTACGGAGAGTTATGTATTTCCTATCATGTTTATCAGTGTCATGTTTTGCTGTCAATATAAACTAACAAGCAAAAGAAAGCATAACATCGATTTAAACCAACAGAAAATCGAAACTGCAAACCGTATTTAGAGCCCCAATATTTTAATTAAGGTGAGGTGAGGTGAAATTGGGTTTAACGTCGCGCTAGAGAATATTTCGATATTTTCGATTATTTTAATTAAGGAAAGAAATGAAGTCAAAACACTGTCATTTCCTGCCCAGGCTAAGAGAAGTAAGTAACCTTCTTACATAGATTCAAGGGAAACACCTAATGACAAGACGGTATCTTTACTACGGGACTCTCGGTATGTAGCCATGGTTTACTTCCCATTCCACCGTAAAATATACATTTTCAATAAAACTATACATTTGTGAAGGCAGGAAGTGTATCTACCAACATGTGCAGGTTTGTAGTGTATCACCTTCACATATCACCATACAACATCTTCTTGTTTCACACACTTTAATTGCCCCAAGAGAAACATTAGAGGTACATCACTAGGTTGGAAGATGGCCGCCGAGTGACGTCACATAGCACTCGCTTATATTTATACTCTACCCTAAAGTAATCTCTAACCCAGCCATGCGGCAAGCCCATGCACGTGAATAACATGAATATCCTCACTCCAAAGTTCAAACAAATCAATACATTACACTCCTCCCACCTAAGTTTAAACTATCCATTCTGGTCTAGAAGCCAGACCCCCCAAATGGTGAAAATGTGGTACAGTTCTGGCGACCGAATGGAATGTGATTTTTCACAATCAGGAACGATTTGGCTTTGATTTAAAGCCGGTTGTCATCAGCTACCGTGCGTGACTACCGTACAGAGGCCCTTTTAAGGTGCAACATGTCATGTCAGTTATGGCAATATTTTAACCGATAACTGGATGGTTTAATTTAATAACTCTGGTTTGGTTTGAACGATTTTCATAACAAAAATAGTTTTTGAATGATCAGACCATGATTTAAAATTGTGGACAATAATATTACATATATGCTCATCGCAAAAATATTTTGGTAAGGTCAAAGGTCAGTTTTAATAGAAAGGGCATTTGATGAGAAAATGTGAGTTGAACTTTACAAATTAAAGGTAGTTTTTCCAAAATTATGTGTTTCTGATTCAGCTATATCATTTGAAGATCATATAAACCTTTGATTGGCATTGTATTCATGAAAAACCATTACAAGGAAATAAAGGTTGGTACTTTGTATTTAGATCAGCAAAACATAAGATAATTTCAGCTCCATGCTTTACAAAGTATCAATAATACTAAATATGTCGAAGATACTGTTGAACTATCATACAAATTTGCGTTTATTGACATTCTAGCAGAAACAACAATTCAGCTGATGTCAGAAGGAGATATGTTGATAAGTGTCAGTATTGCACTGACATGCCGTAAAAACCCTTAAAGCTGATGGATAATAATATGACATCCTAATGGAAGGTTTACAATTGACATTATGGTGTTCCATTTGTTCTGTTTACAATGTGAAATATTACGACTTTGGTTTTCTTTCTTTATTTTACTGCGGCAATCATTGATACATTGTAAAAGATATGACACACTCATCAGAAAGGCGTTTTGGTATCTTACCACCAAATATACACGCAGTCATGTCATCATAACACAAGCAACATTACCTTCATATCAATTCGTATTTATTGTTCTTAATAGTCATAGTGTATTCCCAGTTGACATGTTAGTCAATGTCAACATTGTCAAGATCACGGGAACATGTTTCAAGTCCACATCCACATGCCGAAATACACAACAGGTTCAACCTCTTGCAGCTACTCCTTCCTGTACATTGACGTTTACATGCACAGATATGTTGAAGAAAGTCCACGGAAACGATTTAGTCTTAACTTATTTGCAACCTTATCACAGAGGAACAGAGGAATATTTGATAAAGATATATTACGAAAGAAACGCACTGCTTTAAATACAAAACATTAAGTGCCTAGTTTTGTGGACAACTCACAACAAAACATTCCTAGACAATATTCATATAAACATCTTGCTTCTACTGTAACGTTCATAAAAATATGCATACCTCGGTTTTAGTAATATGTAATGATATACACAAAAGAGTTACACATAGCATGGTCATGACACTATGAGCATCGATCTTCACAAGTGGGATACGATGGCATGCATCAAACAAGTAAGTGAGAACGACCACCCGATCACATTAGTTCGCTCTTAGAAGCCAGACCCCCAAATGGTGAAAATGTGGTGCAGTTCTGGCGACCGAATGGAATGTGATTTTCACAATCAGGAATGATTTGGCTTTGATTTAAAGCCGGTTGTCATCAGCTACCGTGCGTGACTACCGTACAGAGGCCCTTTAAGGTGCAACATGTCATGTCAGTTATGGCAATATTTTAACCGATAACTGGATGGTTTAATTTAATAACTCTGGTTTGGTTTGACCGATTTTCATAACAAAATAGTTTTTGAATGATCAGACCATGATTTAAAATTGTGGACAATAATATTACATATATGCTCATCGTAAAAATATTTTGGTAAGGTCAAAGGTCAGTTTTAATAGAAAGGGCATTTGATGAGAAAATGTGAGTTGAACTTTACAAATTAAAGGTAGTTTTTCCAAAATTATGTGTTTCTGATTCAGCTATATCATTTGAAGATCATATATACCTTTGGTTGGCATTGTATTCATGAAAAACCATTACAAGGAAACAAAGGTTGGTACTTTGTATTTAGATCAGCAAAATATAAGATAATTTCAGCTCCATGCTTTACAAAGTATCAACAATACTAAATATGTCGAAGATACTGTTGAACTATCATACAAATTTGCGTTTATTGACATTCTAGCAGAAACAACAATTCAGCTGATGTCAGAAGGAGATATGTTTTGATAAGTGTCAGTATTGCACTGACATGCCGTGAAACCCTTAAAGCTGATGGATAATAATATGACATCCTAATGGAAGGTTTACAAGTGACATTATGGTGTGCCATTTTTTCTGTTTACAATGTGAAATATTACGACTTTGGTTTTATTTGTTATTTATTTTACCAGCAATCATTGATACATTGTAAAAGATATGACACACTGATCAGAAAGGCACGTTTTGTTATCCTTTACAATGTTGTCAGTGAACTCCCAATAAACCAGGAGAGAGTAATAACATATTGCATAGCCTAAACAACTATCAAACCTCAATGTGAATAACACAATGTGAATTCCTTGGAATTATTGAAGGATTTCTGCTGTTCAGGTCCCCATGACCATGTTGATTTCTTCTGTAATAATTGATGCAGCGGTGCTAATATTGTTGAGAACGTCGGCCGAACACAACAATTCCTTGGATTTATTGAAGGATTTCTGCTGTTCAGGTCCCCATGACCATGTTGATTTTGTCTGTAATAATTGATGCAGCGGTGCTAATATGGTTGAGAGATTACTCATAAACCTTCCATAGTAGTTAAGCATTCCTAGGTAGCTTTTGAGTTCAGTCACTGAAGTAGGCTCTGGAGCTTCTTTAATGGTCATAACCTTTTCTGGTACTGGATGTATTCCTTCTTTGTCAATTCTGTATCCTAAATATACCACTTCTTGCGCAAGAAAGATACACTTTTTGCGTTTAAGTTTCAATCCTGCCTCGGCCAGTCTCTGTAACACCTTGTCTAGTGTAGCCAAATGTTCCTTCCTATTACGTCCCGTGATTAGAATGTCATCAACTCTCACTAACACTCTGGGAAGTCCTCGTAATAGATTTTCCATACTTCTCTTGAATATTCCTTGTGCTGAAGATACTCCATATGGTAGCTTGTTGTATCTATACAGTCCCTTGTGTGTGTTGATTGTCACATACTTCTTGGAATTTTCTTCTAACTTAATCTGTTGGTACGCTTGACTTAAATCCAATTTTGTGAATTCTTCGCCACCTCCAAGTGTTGCATACAAATCATCAGTCTTGGGTATGGGGTAATTATCCAATTTTGAAACCTTGTTGACAGTCACTTTGTAATCCCCACAGATCCTAATTTTCGTGTCAGTCTTGACGATCGGAACAATGGGAGCAGCCCACTCCGAAAACTCTATAGGTTCAATGGTACCTTCTGCTTGTAACTTATCCAATTCTTTCTCAATCTTCTCCTTCAGGGCATAAGGCACTGGACGAGCCTTGAAGTACAGTGGTTTCACCTCAGCTTCCACATAAATCTTTGCTTCTACCCCTTTAAAAGTTCCTAACCCCTCAGAAAACAAAGTTGGATACTTGTCTACAATGCCGTGAAGTTCCTCAGATGCTTCTACCGACTTTGATTGTATTTGGTTAATTTCCACCATCTTGCTTTGCTCAAAAGTGAATATCCTCGCAATATCCCTTGGCTCAAGTTGCAGCACTTTAATCCAGTTTCGTCCCAGCAAACTTGGACGTTTCCCTTGGACGTTTAAGAACCTGGTTATGGTACTTTACTGGCACAACACAAACTCCTGATGCGAAGTTCTAAACTTGTCCTCAGGTTGAACCTCAAGATTTTTCTTCTCATTCAAATAGTTGAATGTTGATTCATCCACTACAGAAACCGCAGCTCCTGTGTCCAGTTCGAACTCTTGTGGTTGTCCATTCACTGTCAGTTTTATTACATAGGGGTCACTTCTTTCTACCTCTAAAATAAACATATTGTATCAAACGTCCTCTTGAACACTCTCACTGTATAGATCCATATGTGCTAAATCCATATTTTGTTCCTCAGAACTCTCCATCCCAGCAAGAAAATTTGTTCTATTGCCTCTCTGCGACTGTGAACCACGACTGCCTCGGCTGCCTTGATGTGGACCTCGACCTCTACTTGGACAATGATTAGTGGGAGTACGTGGCTTCCCATGATTTCTGTTTCTACATTTCTGAGCAATATGTCCAACTTGATGACAAATATAGCACTCTGAATCTTTGTAAAAACAAACAGATGATGAATGTTTACCTCCACAGCGAAAACAGTCTCCATTATGGTTATTACTTGAATAGTTTCCTCTTCCCCTCTGGATCCTATGTCCACCCCGCTGAATATGGTGATTTACAAATCTGCTGTATTCTTAGCTGTAGTTTCTGTTGCTCGTGCCAATTCCCATGCTCTTTCAAATTTCAAGGAATCTTCTGCTAACAAACGTCTCTGAATTCTTTTTATCATTTATGCCACAAACAAGTCTATCTCTCAACATATCCTCTAAATAAGTTCCAAAATTACAGAATTCAGACAATTTCCTAAGTTCTGCCACGTACTCACTCACTTACTCGGCGGATTTCCTACGGCGTGTGTGAAACTTGAACCTTTGCACAATCTCTGACGTTTGGGGATTCCGATGCTTTCTCACTGTTTCCACGAGCTCGTCGTATTTCTTGTCTCCTCATTAACGAATATGTTTTACTACCACAGACACTCAACAATATAGCTTTCTTCTTTTCCTCCTCTATCCCATTAGCCTCGAAATAATGTGACAGACGCTCCGTGTACTGTGACCAGTCCTCGTCTTCGTTAAATTCGCTGATAGAACCGAATGTCGCCATCATTCGACTGCTCTAGGATACGAAGTTAATCCTCGTCGCCAATTGTAGTGTATCACCTTCACATATCACCATACAACATCTTCTTGTTTCACACACTTTAATCGCCCCAAGAGAAACATTAGAGGTACATCACTAGGTTGGAGGATGGCCGCCGAGTGACGTCACATAGCACTCGCTTATATTTATACTCTACCCTAAAGTAATCTCTAATCCAGCCATGCGGCAAGCCCATGCACGTGAATAACATGAATATCCTCATTCCAAAGTTCAACCAATCAATACATTACAAGGTTTCGTTTTAATATTCTGCAATCCATTTTTAGTACTATCCTTCGGCCCGGATCGGCCCGAGTTTTTGGCACTTCTCCCTTCCCCCCCCCCCCGTAAATCGCAACAATTTGTGGTCGAATAGAATCACATTTTACAAAGTCTATGTATGAACGTCCCCTGGTTGCCTGATCACTACTTATTCCCACTACTTATCTAACTCCCGCCTGTCCGACCATCAGTGGGCAAATGTGACATGTTTAATATAAGTAACATAAGTTAAAGCTGTTACAGCTTTGCTAATTTACTAGAGTTACACATGAAGGCAAATGGTATTCTATCTATCTAAATAGCACTTCATAGAGTCTTATTGCGTAGTATTTAAAGCAAGCACTTTGCTCAAAGCGAAGTCCTCTTTTCTATTTTCTTAACATAGTTGCTATATCCGGCTTGGCCCGGGCTCTCAAAAGTTACAAAATGCTACATATAATGATGACTGGTCCGTTAAAGTGAAGCCGTTTTCCCTGCCAATTCCCAATATAGCCTCAGTCAAAGTGCCTGATCGGTACGGTTTGGCCCGGGCCGTCAAAAACAACTTAAACCTCAAACACGTATCTTGAATTCATTTTAAATCCATAGATTAGTATTATATCAACCTAAATAGCACTCCATAGAGTCTTATTGCGTAGTATTTGAAGCGGTGATCGGAAAGAAACTCAAGGTGTGTCTGAGAGTTGTGTCCTTATTGCCATTCAAATAGTTGAATGTTGATTCATCCACTACAGAAACCGCAGCTCCTGTGTCCAGTTCGAACTCTTGTGGTTGTCCATTCACTGTCAGTTTTATTACATAGGGGTCACTTCTTTCTACCTCTAAAATAAACATATTGTATCAAACGTCCTCTTGAACACTCTCACTGTATAGATCCATATGTGCTAAATCCATATTTTGTTCCTCAGAACTCTCCATCCCAGCAAGAAAATTTGTTCTATTGCCTCTCTGCGACTGTGAACCACGACTGCCTCGGCTGCCTTGATGTGGACCTCGACCTCTACTTGGACGATGATTAGTGGGAGTACGTGGCTTCCCATGATTTCTGTTTCTACATTTCTGAGCAATATGTCCAACTTGATGACAAATGTAGCACTCTGAATCTTTGTAAAAACAAACAGATGATGAATGTTTACCTCCACAGCGAAAACAGTCTCCATTATGGTTATTACTTGAATAGTTTCCTCTTCCCCTCTAGATCCTATGTCCACCCAGCTGAATATGGTGATTTACATGGTGAATAGAAGATGTAGGATTCCCAGAAGGAAGTTGTAAATCTGCTGTATTCGTAGCTGTAGATTCTGTTGCTCGTGCCAATTCCCATGCTCTTTTCAAATTTCAAGGAATCTTCTGCTAACAAACGTCTCTGAATTCTTTCATCATTTATGCCACAAACAAGTCTATCTCTCAACATATCCTCTAAATAAGTTCCAAAATTACAGAATTCAGACAATTTCCTAAGTTCTGCCACGTACTCACTCACTTACTCGGCGGATTTCCTACGGCGTGTGTGAAACTTGAACCTTTGCACAATCTCAGACGGTGGGGGATTCCGATGCTTTCTCACTGTTTCGGTAATAAACAGAATATTATATGAGTGCCCATATCATACTATGTTTACGACACTCGTGCCTAAATATCGGTATATCCCTCGCTCTCGCTCGGGAAATACCAATATTTAGGCACTCGTGTCGTAAACATAGTATGACATGGGCACTCATATAATATCCTCTATGTATTGTGACTTTTTTTCCTGTGTTTTTTTATCCGTGACTTTTTATCTGTGACCTTCTTTCCTGTGACTTTCTTTCCTACATTCTTTGAAACAAACACTTTGCTCAAAATGAACCACTCTTTTCTATATCAACTTAGTTGATGTATCAACAGTGTTCGGTCCGGCTTGGCCCAGGCTGTCAAAAGCAACTTAAACCTCACACATGTATCTTGAATTGTGTTTAAATCCGTATATTAGTATTACATCTACCAGAATGTCATTCTGTAATGTCAGGAAATGCCACATGTAAAGATGACTTGTCCATTACTGTGAAGCCCTTTTCCAGCGTTTAAAATTCCCGCCTGCCTGACCGCCCGCGCGGAACGGTTTGTTTTCATCTCGGACTGTCAAATTTGAAAAGAAGCCTGTCTGGTGGTCTGGTAGATATATTTACCCCTAGCATTAAATATTTCATAATATCAGACATTATATCTTGTCGTCAGTTTGAGGTGTTTGAGGTATTATGAAAATTATGTTAAACTACTTATGATTGGACAGTTCATGTTACGATAACCAATCACATCACGTGTCATTTCAGTTCATTGTTTGTATCCGGACTGGCAATTTTTTTTAAGTTACCAGTCCGGCTGTCTGGCTTGGAATTGTGTGAGTTTTAAACACTGCCGGATTTTTCCCTCTCCATTACCAACATGGCCTCAATCAAAAGTGTTCATGCTGCGTTTGCACAAGGCCACGATTATGCTGATCCGACACGAACCAAATATCGTAGTACGAGGGGATATCAAAAAGTTCCAGTTTTCACCAAGACATATTAAGGGTAGAAACTTTATTTTGTTTTCTTGTCCTTATGACTTCTTTACATAGTCACCATCTAGATATAGACATTTCTGCCATCGTTCTTGACCTTGCGCAGACCGCCTGAATAGAAGACCCCTGATCTCAGAGAAACCAACCCTCCACCTCTTGAATGACGTCATTCGTGTCGTCAAAACGACGTACACGAAGTGGGTTTTTCATCCCTGGGAACAAGAAGAAGTCACTTGGTGCGAGTTCAGAAGAATAGGGTGGATGTAGTAATATTTCGAAGCCACAGCGTCGTGCCTCCACAGCAGCTGCTTGACAGGTGTGGGCTGGTGCATTGTCAGCTAACAGGCGTACACCTTTGGTGATCATACCGCGGCGTTTTTGTTTGATGGCATCTCGTAACTTGCTCAGAAGGTTGCAGTAGTAAGCTCCGGTGATGGTCTGACCCTTTGCCTGATAATCTGTAAGAATAACTCCACGACAGTCCCCCAAAAACAGACACCATGACCTTCCCTGCAGAATTTTGAATCTTGGCCTTTTTCGGAGCTTGTGACGTTGCATGTTTCCACTCTTTGCTCATCTCTTTTGTCTCAGGATCATACAAATAGACCCAGCATTTGTGCATGGTTACAAGACGTCTAAAGAAATCCTCTTCATCCTGCTCCAGAAGCTGCAACGCCTGTTGTGACATGTCCCGTCGAGTTTGTCTTTGAAAAAGAGTCAGTAAGCGAGGTACCCAGCGTGCTGACACTTTGGACCCGTGCAGTTGGTTACTGATGATGTTCTACGCGCTGCCGTAACTCAAATGGGTCTCATGCATAATCATTTGTATTGTTACACGGCGATCTTCCTGAACCAGCGCCTCGACTTTGTTCACGGTGTCCATATCATCAGCAAGTGAGGGGCGTCCACTTCTTGGGTCATCTGTGGGGACATGTGACTGGTTTGGAAATTCCTTT